AGGTAGAAATGAGCCTCGTCACTTCACAGAATATTCCAAGGCCATGACAAATCAACAGTCATTCTGTTGAGAAAACTGACTGCAAATGAGAGTAGTTGCAGCTTGTCCCTATCAAGCAGCTCCTGGTATCACAGATTTTGTATGGGAAGTAGTGCATTGTGTTTCTGACGGTGCTGTAAGAATAGCCTGTCTGTCGAGAAACTGCCCCCAAACTCTGATGTCTGCGACTGTGCGTCAGCAGCTGTCATGATGGCATCAACAAGTACTGGTGTAACATGTTTACGGCCTCTTGCAGGTTGAACTCCTAATTTCTCCATCTCTTCAAATCTCTTAATCATGGCCCGGATACTTTTAGTAGACATTGGTCCATGCTGTATGTTCTTTCTACAACAAAATTCATGCAGCAGAAGTAGCAGCTTCAAAAATGCATCAGAAGCATTTCTCTTGTTTTTGTAAAACTGCCTCGCCAATAATGCATGTTCAACTAAAGAACCCTCATTAGTACAGCCGGCAACTTCGACTTAAACATGACAAACATCTGCAAACATTTTATACCCTAACTTGTTTTGCATAAAGTTTCCTCTTCTTCCCAAGCATCCAAATCTCAACATTTTTCTCCTACAACTGACAGCTTTTCCCAGTTTTGCATTTTGTTACTCATAATGCATGGTCTGCATTGTACATATTGTTTCTGTATTTCGTTTTGGTCATTTATTGTGTTAAATTTCATGTTTTCTCAAAAAGGCGCCTCTGGTGGACATTTTGGAACTAAAAGTTTTTTTTTCTGTGAGCTCATCTTGTGTATAGCCCATATACAAAGTTTCGTAGCATTATGTTTACACATTTATGCTGTAGGATGCTGTTACATAGGGGGGAAAAAAAAAGAATTAGAATTACCTTTTACATTTAACTTTTTAACTGACTTCACTGACTTCTTCTTGGTGCCACGACATAAAAAAAAAAAAAAAAAACGTCAAACTCAAACTAAAACTAAGTACTTACTTCTTTCATAATAATCAAAATTTTAACACTTTAAAATCAAAGAAAATATCCTCTGTGGTGTTTTGCTAAAAACGGAGATTATTTATAAAAACCAAAACCCTTAACATTTAAAATACCACACAAATCTCTTCAAAACATCAGGGAAAGATACAACTCACATTTAAGAAGTCTACTCAACAAATCAAAATAAATTAATTAGCCAATCGTATAGTCACAACTCTTAAAACTGATTTTTTCCCCCCTACTACCACAATATCGATAGAATAACCATGTTCCGTAAGGATCACATGGGTGACCTACAGTAGACCACAATTAAACTCAAATAAAAATACAATAATAAAAATAATAAACACATTTATTGAATATTCCCACACCTTATAATTTAATATAGCTGGCCAGAATACCCCCACAAAACATAATCTTAAGATTTACTCATTATTTCAATCTCGTTTTTAACATAATTCACATCTTACAAAATCATAGTGAAACACCTCAATATTAATGTTTTAAACATGTACTCAAGAATTTCAATTCGTGACCGTTAAACATTAAAAAGAAACTAACATTTTCTCAACTATTGATTGATCTATTAACAGCAAAATACAAATTTTAATCTATATAAATAGTCGGCTAAGGTGTTAGAATTTAACTCTTCCCAAATCCTAACGAATACTTATGAATGAAAAGCAAAATAAAAATAAAAATGTTTGCTCATGAATCTGCGTATATCAGGTCCGAGAGCCTCTGGGAGCTGCCAGGATCGAGTCACAAAACGTCGAAACAAAATGGTCCAACTTTATCATTGTCCGGAAAACCGATACTGATGTCTGTTCAAAGCACAACAGAAATTTTCTCATAGTTCCACTTCATCGTTGTCAGGAAAACCGATACTGATGTCTGTTCAAGGCATAACAGGAATTCTGTCATAGCACCCGCACTACTCGGTCCAGCAGCATTTAACTAAAAAAAAAAAAAAAAAAAAAAAAAAAAAAAAAAAATCAGCCTTCCCTTTTATTTTGAAGACTCTCTGAAGATAACAGAAGGAGATGGACAGCAGAAGATGACGACTTCCCTCTTTTTCCATATTTTCCAAAGCAAACTGGAACTTCAGCGCGAGCAATTCAGACTCAACTCTTCCACACATAGAAAACATCAAAGACATTACGCTAGACCTAGCCCCAGATCTTCAGCCAATTATGCTGAAATTTAACCGAAAGGAGCCTGCGATAAGCTCGGTCCGGTCCCCGCTGCCAGTGCCACAGATATAAACAATAATAACCGTAACTGCGTTCGCCCCCAAGTCGTCGCCGAGTAACGCTCCTCTCCAAGTCGATTAAAACTGGACCAAATCTTACGTAAATCTCTCCAAAATCTCCTTTCTTCTCCCGTGCAATGGCTTAATAAAATTCGGTTGACACTCACCAAGAAATGCCTCAAAATCACTATTGGCTGAAACAACACTAAAATTAGAAATTTAACGAATCTTAAAGAAACTTGAACCCCTTCTAGCCAACTACGACCAGGTGATAAACCATTACGAAATTTCCAAGAAAATTCAGAACTCTCAGCAAGATGACAGACCCTTTCTTTCCCACACAACAGAAGAATGTTTCCAACCTATAACTCTTTCAAATAATCATTGGCACTTAGAACTATTCGCCTCTGAACGAGCAAAACACGTGTTTTCAGCCCCCGCAAAAAGAGGGAAAATGCAGCTGGCTGCAACTGACCGCTTCGTGGGAAACGGAAGTAACAAGCCTCGCCCTTTTTTCTGAATTACATCTTCAGCTAAGCTTAAAGGAGCTTTGCCGTAATTGAGTTAAAGTTTAAACAATACTAAATATTATACACTAATTCTTAAATATGAACATTACAAATTCATTGTTCACAGTAAAATAATATAATTACTAAGAATACCGTATGCACGGTAAAATAATACGTAATAGTTATACACAACAAAATAATACATAACATTTTCCATAACAATGCCTTTTATAGGGTTTAATTATAACCACATAGTATATTTGTTTCTTGTAGCAATTGTTTGGATTTTGTCCAGTTCTTTATTAATTTTTCACTTAAATTCCATTCTATTTTAGCAGCTCTATTTCCATTCTCTTCTGCTAAATCAATCATCTTCAGTTTAAATCCTACCTTATAACTATTCTTTCTAAACTTTCTTTATTCAAGCAGAAAAAAAAGGCATCCAAAACACTCGAGCATGAAATTCATTGCAAGACAAAATGTCGGCAAAGATTCTTTTTCTGTAACTTTAGAAACATGCAGCCTAGTAAATGTAGAGTATGTACATGCTTTCTTCAATGAAGAACGAGTTGAAAGCTTTAACTTGAGGGAGGGGAATAAGAAATTCTGCCCCAGGGATCTCTTCCATCCTCACAGAGGAAGTAGGCAATTCCTTATCTCACTATAGAGTGACTATTGAAAATGTCAATGGGAGTGACAGAACAGATGAATCCATTATGAGTACTAGCGCTGGGAAGAGCACAGCTAATAATCTTCTATTTTCTAAATGAGGGTCAAATACGCGACTGTGACTTTTATTAGGGAAAAATAGTTTGACAGTTTTTCTGCTTCAAAATAGGGAGTGATTTTTACGCAAGGATGACTGTTAGACAAGTAAACACGGTAAATTTAAATAAATGTGCATGTATTTTTTGAGTTTTGGAAAGGAGCAGAGGTTAATCGTCTATCAATGGTGAATGGGGCGAAAAAGGCTGAGAACCACTAAGTGGAATAATGGTACTTTTGAGTCCCAGACCTGAAACAGAGAGGTGATTCAATATTGTTTGATGAAATTTCTCCACAATGTCATTTGTCTCTGGATGTAAAGGAGGGGTTTGAATCTTTTTCCTGTGGAGAATTCCGTATAATCTTTTAAATATGGCAGATGTGAAATTTATTTCTTGGTCAGAGGGAATTAGATGAGACACTTCAAATCAGAAAATCCAGTTTTCCACTAGAACTGTGTTAATTGAAGCTTCTTAATCAGATGTGGCATAAGCTTCCAGCCATTTACTAAAAGAGTTCATTACAACTAAGATGTACTTATTTCCCTTAGTTGCATGAAGTAAAGGTCCAGGAATATCCAAAGCAATTTCAAATGGTGTTCTTACATTGTAGTACTGTAATATTCCTCCTGGACAAGTACGCAGGCTTTTTTTTTAGGTTCGTATGTGTCACAGGATTTGCATAACCTTTCTACATCTGTCCAGAAGAAATGTTTACAAACTTTATAAAGGGTCTCCATTACACCAAAATGACATCCAAGAGGGCAATTGTAAAGCTTTGAGGGAATTCTGGGGATGCGAGATCTCGGTAAGATGAGTTACCATCTGAAACACTTTCCGTCGTTGGCTTCATTTGAGGTAGAGGACTCTGATCCCTTGCAGGCAAAGTAAATACCATGAAGCTCAATATGTTTTTGTTATATATATAAAGGATGCAATTTTTACCAATTGGTCTTTTTTTTTTTTTTTTCTCTAAGGTTCCATTAATGGCCTCAGTTTAAGATCTTCCATTTGGTTCTTTTCCAGCTATTCGCTGCACCAAGCATCATTTCCTGATGTTATGGAGTGTGTGTTAATTTGTTTGACCACGGGGTCTTCAAAACCATATTTTTACATGGCTTGTAAGCACTTTTGTGAAGTGTTCTTGATAGTATCTCAGCATTCCCATGTGAAATTCCTTTGCGATGTTAAATTAAAAATAAAGTTAAGTTTGCAGTGTTAAATCATTATACTTTTTCAGTCATATTCCTTTATCTTCATATTTTATCTTATTTTTATATTATTTTCCTGTTAAAATTGAAGTTATTTTTCATCAATAATAAATTAGCATTAGCAAAATATTAATAAATTAAACATTACAAGGGCTTCACAGTTCTTAATTAAAAATCATAATCTGAGAATTTTGTTATAAGTATATTCACTTTTTATTTGACAAGAATTAATATTCTGTTGTAATTTGTATTGTTACAGATTACAAAGCAACTTATGAAAATGAGTTATTTGAGAAGTTCTGCCAATTATATTTGGAGCACAACATTTGCATTAGGGAAGGGTGCAACAGGCTCAGTTTATCAAGGAGTACATAAGGTACTAAAAATTATTTGTGTCTATATTTGAATTTTTTTTTTTACAGTGTATAAATATTTGCTAAATATTATATGTAATTTTTTTTTTCTTCTTTTAGAAAACTGGTGAATCTGTAGCTGTAAAAACATTTAATCATACAAGCCATTTTCGACCATTAGAAGTTCAAATGCGAGAATTTGAAGTTATGAAAAAGTTATCTCATGAGAATATTGTTAAAATGGTCGCTATTGAAGAAGAGGTATTTAATGTTGTGTTTTTTACAGTAATTTTTGTATTAAATGAGATCACAGATTTATTAGTAATTGCTGAAAATTAACTAAAAATTGCAAAAGATGAGCTTTTGTAGGAATTATTTATATCTTTATATGTTTTAAATTATATTAAAATTAGTCTTGCTGGCTATTTTCATTTTGTGATTAATCAATGGAAAAGGGTTACTTACATAATATCTTATTGGCACTAAAAGTTATCAAAGCTCCTTCAAAACTTATGCCAGTCATTTCAGTAGGAATTTGAAAGAACAGATTGCTCTTCATAATAAAAAAAACGTGTTACAAATGTAACATGCAATTTTGGAGACCTCAAACCATGTTCCTTATTGAATAGATATTTTTTGTTACAATTTTTCACATTGCATCCCCATAGTTTATCCATTTTCAAATAAAACTCCACTCGTACCCATTAATATATACTTTTTTTTTAATGCCAGAATTTTGTAACTTTGAAAGTATTTTGCTTCAGTTCACTGAAGGAATTTTCCAGTCTTTTAATAAAAATGAATAAGAAAATAAGCAATTTTTTAATACTATAATAAATAATTTTTCCAAAATGTGAGGAAAATGTGCATGACACAAATATTTTTTTTCAAAATGTTAGGGAAATAAATGTTAATTTATGTTCCGTTTTATAAAAACAAAATAGCTTATTGATAATAATTGGTATTATATAAAATCTAGGCAAAGATTTTTATGATTGTTTTAGGATTCATTATACTGATGTTAGGATGTGTAAGTTATTACTGATGCTAAATCACATTGGCAATAATTTTTATCTGTTGAAGGTGGTCAGTGGGAAAATATGTAAGTACAAAAAAGCAGTTAAATAAGTTTTTAAAAACATACATCCAAAAGTGCATTGATATATTCTTTTAATTAAAATTTTTAGTTCAGAAGGGCTATTAATTTCATATTGGCATTTTACATCAAATCCCTGTAAATGGCATATCACTTTTCAAATTGTTGCCACTAAATATTATCACCCTATGTATTGTATTTAAAGAAATGAAATAATGAATCTACATAAATGTATGTATGTTTCTTGCATTGTGATAAAACAACGGTACCTAGAGCCATCATATTTTGAATAATGTAATCCTCCACCCGAATATGGGCATCTGGAAGCCCAAATTTGGAATTTGTTTTATTATCTAGTTCATATTTATATTTTGTAAAACTTTAACAAATTTTTGATTAACAAACTCGATGATTTCAAAGTGAGCAATGGAAACACTGTATGGGGGAAAAAAAAAAATTATCAACAGTGCGCGAGACTGTGTATCGGAAATTCTTTTGTGATACTGCTGTTGAATTGAATTTTATGGTTTAAGTGCAAAGAACGTGATATTTAATAAATAATGGTAACACACAAAATGTTAAAAAAGAGGCCCAATTGAGCGTAATATAAAATTTGAAAAATTACAGATCCCCCCCCCCACCTTTTTTTAAATTTTTATTTAATAAAATATATTATTGTATTTTTAATCCTGAGTTCTTAAATATAAAGCACAAAATTGTATCAATTTATTCCTCTAATTAAAATTTTTATTTGCTGGCTGTTAATCAGTTTTGAGTGGCCATTATTACTCTGGAGCATTCAAGGATTACTCTCCTGAAAGCATGCTTTTCTAAATGTAGAAATACAGATATCTGTTCGTAACTCAACTTATAAATATGTGTTATAATTGAATATAATTAATAAAATTTGGCAAAAATTGGTTTTGGTTATAAAAATAAGTATTAAATGGTAATTAAGTTATCCTGCAATATGGTAAATAATGATTTAAGTTTCAACTCTCTCTATGAATGGTTGTTTTTTTAAATCTATTTATGAAGACTTTTAATTAGCATTTATTAGCAAGTCTGAACAATTAATTATTTTACTCTGTGTTTTCAAAAACTTTCATTTAGTGTGATAATATTTAGATCATTAAAGAAAAAAACAAAATATTTTAAATAATAAGGCAGTATGTATGAAATGACACAAAATTCTGTGACCAGATAAGAGCAGTCATACCACTCAGGGAGTTAAGTTCATATTAATAAACAGTTTGAATGACATATTTACTAAGAAAAACTGTTAGTTTACTTTCTGTTTATCCACATTTCTGATTGATAGATAATATGCATATTTATATAATTTTTCAACAAAGTACTATGTTCATGTCAGTTTATATTATTATCTTATTCATTCAACATTGGAAATCATTTTTAAATAATCGTGCAGATTATTTATACCAAGATGAAACTACCTATATAAAATTTTAGCTAAAAGCTAGCAGTATTTTGAAAATTTTATTATATGTAAAAAAAGTAATGCTGTCAGCAGACAGTTGTCTAAATATATTAACATAACTTATGAACAAAATTCATTAAAATTTTTTTTTCACAAAATTGATTTAGTCATGTAGTTGATGTTAAATTTGGGCATATTAGTATATGTATTTAGGCCATATTATTCCATATTTGGAAGTATATTAAACAACCCATATTTAAATTTATTATATGCGAGTTCAAAGTTTTCTATGGTTAACTGTAACATTTTAATTTTCCAGTATCTATAAAATCTTATATATTTAATTGTAATATTACATATTTTTTAATATTATATATTTAAATATAGCTGGAAAGCCAGAAAAAGGTACTAGTAATGGAATTGTGCAATGCTGGCAGTCTTTTTACCATACTAGATGATCCTCAAAATAGCTGTGGCCTTGAGGAGGAAGAATTTCTTTGTGTCTTAAAGGATATGTGTATGTATTATTTGAAAATTTATAATGTAAGTCAGTATTTAGCTGTTTGTAATTCTTAATCAACATAATGCAAAAATTAATCTCAAAGCAAATTGTTAATAGTCTTATAAAATTATTGATTAGTAGTTGACAAAGCATCCAGTGGGAAAGAGTTCAGAGTGCACAAAAACACAACATTGATTGCCATAGATTTTATTTTAGCAGAAGTGTTTTCAGGATTTAGCATTATCAGCTTCTTCATCTGCAACTGAGAAGCATTATTGCCATCTTCAGTCAGGTTCTTTTAGAGTAATTTATTTCTCTCTCTATAGGGCAGTGATTTTTAAATTTTTTTGCTCCATGTGCTTTCACCTTTCACCCAGGGGTGTGTCCCGTATTTCTGTAAAGGGCATCCTGCTGAACACCAAATATTTCAAAAGTTATAGTAATGAATATAATATACTGTTAAACATTTCATGGTATGAAAAATAATTAAATGCATTTGATAAAAATTTTAAATTCCTCAGATTTAAGGTCTAAAATGTAATCAGTAAGTTTTGCAGATAGTTTACATTTTAATTCAAACAAATTCAAACATTAGTTTTGATAAAATTTTATATTAATCATTGTTAAAATTTGAACAGTGGTACAGTTAATGCTGATAATAGTAAAAACAACTACTCAATCTTATAAATTTCACTGATCATGTTATGAATACTGTTGGTATAGTTATATAAATTTGTTATTATGTACAGTATGAGTATGCCTCTTTTTTTTTATCTTTGTATGCACATTCTCTTTACATTTTATGATCTTTAAGTAATTTTAATTTTTTTAGATGACGATCAAAGTCTAACTATCATTAGAATTAAGCCTTTTGAAAAGCTGCCTATTTTATTTTCAATCTATTCATTTTTCAGAAAGATGCTTCACTTAATAATTCAGGTTTATTACATTATCACAGTGATCTCAAACTCAAATTGTGTGCGGGCAGAATTCGCAATCTGAAAGTAGTAGGCGTGCCACAATATATTAAAAAAGGGGGGGGGCAAAAAAGAAAAAGAATTTATTTGTTAACAAAATATGATTTGTTAGCTAATTTAAAAAATTTTCACTGCATATTTTTAAAATGTCTGTATAAAAAGTAAAGCGTGCGCACACACACACACACACACACACACACACACACACACACAAAAAAAAAAAAAAAAAACTTGATAATGAACATTAGAATTTATTCTCTTTCTTTTATTTACTAGATTTTTCTATGAAGTATACAGGAAAAATAATATTTGTATGTAAATAATTATAAACTTCTTTTTTCTCTACCTTCACCTGCGACCCCTCATGGTGTTCTGATTTTCATAAAGTTTGTAATTTTGAGGGAAAATGACTAGAAAGTATCTTCATCGCAAAATGTAATTACTCATTGGCAGTCTAGTTCCTTTCGTAGATTTATTAATGTTCAATTGTAAAAAAAGATTTCAATTTTAAATGTACTGAAACAAAGCGATTATTTTTATTGCAAAAATTTATAACTGAGCATATTTATCTTTCAACGAGTACTAGTAAAAGTTATCTGGATCTTCAAATCTTGTATAAGATTTATATCTTAGTGTCAATTTATTAAGTATGTTTCTATATTTTCCAGAAAGTTGCATTTGTTTTTGGTACTTTAAATAATATAAAATTGGATTTCAAATCATTAATGTCTTTCTTCAAACTCTTGTCGTAACAATGCTAATTAATTTAAAGGAAATGTATTCGCGGGCCTCATAAAATTGCTTCGGGGGCCACATGCAACCTGCCAATTTGAGACTGCTACATTATCATACGTACCTTTAAAAAAAGCCAAAAAGTAAGAAAAAGCCACCTTTAAGTTCAGTATACTGTACAATGTAAAACTTTGAAGTAGAATACTCACTTTTGTGTACGAATACACTCAAATACCAAAAATCTACCGACCTGAAATCCGCCATCTGCCGACTCCTGAAATCTGCATTGCCTCTCAAAATATAAACATTCAGTTTATTGGTTCAGGAAACCGCAACATTGAGTACGAAATATTGAATAAAAAATACCAAATAAAGACGTCATAATTACCGAATAATAATGAGCCATAACGGAAATACCAAATTATTGACATTATGATAAAAGTTTTTTCCCCTCTAATCTGCATCGAGGTAAAAAAGCAGACGATTCAATCAACTCTTCTTTCAAGTTCACAATTCATGTTGTATTTTTTAAGCTTTGTTATTTCACAAGATTATTTAGTGCTGCCTTTTTTTTCTAATAGGGATATTTTGAGGATAAATTAAGAATATTTTAAATTTAAGCCCTTTTTAATACAATTACAGATAAGAAACGCACTCATGATTTTACTGCTTGCAACGTAGAAAAATGTAAACAAGTTGCATTGGCGGAATGCAAAAAGTGCAAATTCTGCAAAAGATGGAGACAGGTGCTACTCCTTGGTTTATAGCAGAATCGTATGGAATTGCAACACGATTGTGTATGATATACGGAAAAATAAAGAAAAGCTGTTGAAATTTTACAGCAACAGTGATTCTAACACTGGAATCCGAAACCAGAAATCTTTGCATGAGGCGTAATCGGCAAACCTCAATGCTGTGTTTATATAATATAATGAATAATATAATCAATTTATATATGTAATAATAATTTAATGCATGTAATAAGTTATTGCAATAATGTATATGATAATTTATTTAAATGCATCTAATACGCCTTATTTATTTTGCACTTTTAGCCTGAAAATTATGATTTATCTTTTCTGTTCTGAAATCCGCACAACCTCTGGTCCCAAGCTTTGCGGATTTCTGGACTTCTACTGTAATACCTAACATGTAATAATTGCACCAAATTCAGTGATAAACAAAAAATACTCATCTTCTCCATTTGAATGTGATAAAAGTACAGCATGCATTTAGGGAAAACTTGTAAGGATCTTAAGTTTTACTAACGTTTATTTTATTTTAAATCTTTACTATCACTTCTTATTTTCTACTTCCGGCCAGAATTATAAGCGTGAAGGAGTTTATGCAAAGTTGTCTGGCGAACGCCAAGTATTTAAGTGTGGCCTTTTTGCCAAGCAGAAGAGAGGAAGCCGTGAGTTCGAAGCAGGCCGCTTACCTTAGAAGTTACGCAGTTGCTACTTTGCCTTCCAGGCCAGAGGTTTTAATCCTCTTGATAAATTAAACGTATTGTAGTGTTCACAGTCTCTGTGCTACATACGCTTTCTGTTATTATAAGGCCAATCTTATTCTAAAGTTAAATTAGAGTTTAGTTTTATTTTGATATCTTTTAAGTTAGACCCCGAGTGGAGGGTCATTGTATTCCGAAGTACGGAAGTCATTGTATATAAAGAAAAAAATAAAGGGTTTTGTATACCCTTCGTCTGTATCCTGTCCACTTACTACAATTAGTGAACATAGCTTTAGTAAGCTCTCTGTTCTAGTCAGGTCATTGTATGTTTCCGAAGAAAGTTAGAAGAAACATTGAACCTGATAGTGGCGCCCGACGAAGAATAACCATGGCCGAGTTTCAAGAAGAACCTGTGCTGCCTGCAGAAACAGCTCAGAATCCAGAAATGCCAGCTGCCGCCCTGGAAGGATTTGGGTATATTGTCCAGACCATGCGCGCTTCGATAAAACCAGAAGCAACGTTTAATGGAAACTCACAGGTAACCAGTTTTTTTTGGAAAAATTGGATGACCACTTCATGCTCTACCCCGTGCACGAGTTTCAAAAAGTTACCTTAGCTACCAGCGCTTTGAGGGGCCAAGCGCTTAACTGGTTCAAATGTATCGGCAGAAGTCTCTTGGGTCAAGCAGGAAGTCCCACCTATACCTACGAAAATTTCAAGACTGCCCTACTAAAAGCCTTCCCTGTTGTAAGGGATCGTGCGAAATTAGAAACAGAACTTTTCAGTATATATCAACAAAGAATGGAAAACCTCTCCAGGTTTATTTTAAGAAAAATTCACGTTTTCAAGCTCTTGTATGGAAACCGTCCGGATCCTGAAATAATTCAAGTGATTTTGCCGAGGTTACTACCCCAAGTGCAAGACTTTATTGAATTGAGAAATCCGACTACACTGGAAAAATTATTTGAGCTAGCAATCCAGTTTGAAAGTAGAAGAACGGCGGACGTCGAAAGAAGACGCCAATATCAACAGCGAAACCAATTTGGTACGCCAAGACTACAGCAAACTCAAGCACATGGCTACGGAGAAAAAGCGAATCAGTGGGCAAGGAAACCCGAGCATTCAAAAACAGCCGGCGAACGTCGACAGTTCAATAGCAACCCAGGAAAAAAGTCTCAAGGCCAGTGGAGAAAGAAGGAAAGCACCGAAAGAAAAAATAATTTAAACTAAAACGGATTTTCTGCTGACGAGAGGGTGCGGAAATCCGAAGGCCACGAAAACCCCTCTTCCTACAAGTTAAATACAGTAATGGTGAAAAATTTAACTCTTCCGAAGATTGAAGTCTTGGTAAATAATATCCCGGCCACCGCACTCCTGGATACCGGCGCGCAGTGTTCCTGTGTGGCAGAAGTCTTTTTTAGAAAGTATTTTCGCAAATACCGCATATATAATGCGGATAATACAACAGTATTAGCGGCGCAAGGAGAACAATGTAAGTGCGTAGGTAAAGTACCTTTGTACATCCGTATCAAGGACGAACAAGTAAAGGTGATGTTTTTTATAGTAAAGAATTTGCAAGCACACTTAATACTAGGAATAGACTTTCTTTCAGACGCACAAGCTACACTGGATTTTAATGAAGCGTCTCTTAAGCTGACGATGAAGCCAGTGCGTGTAGAAAAGGTTGAACCGCCAAGGGTAAATCTCGACCACCTGCCTAATGACGAGCAAGATAGAATCCGACAAGTGGTAAGTGAATTTGCTTCCTTATTTAGTGATATTCCAGGATTTACCCAGGTTACCAACCATAGTATTGACACCGGAGATGCATTGCCGGTTCGTCAAAAACCATACCG